TCGTAACACTCAGGGCGTTTTTATTCAGAACCGAACAAATCAATTGCCGCAAATTGCAACTAGTCACGGCGGATAGCTTCAAACCAACAGTAGAACAGCAGAACGTCGAATCCATCAGGATCCATCAACGGAAGCACAGAAATACAACAGTCCAGTGAACTAAACTCATCTGACGTTATAATAACAATTGGTGTAATAAGCTAAGTTTTTTATCACACAAACACACCCAAACACACGAAAGAAGTCTTTTTTCTGCAGTTCAGAACTAAACCTCCATATTCATCGTCAAGAATCTCATACAAGTGACACATTTGTTCACGCCCAATAAGAAACGGTCAAACGTAGGTACAGACACATACATCGATTGTGTGGCCACGATAAGCGATCGAAACCGAGGGACCTATTCCGACAAATGCGGGCAGAGATTGAACCAAATCAATCCGGTTTCCGAAAAGGACTCAAAAAGGATCATTTTCGCAAATCTGTCCACACACGAAACTCACCCAAAACATCAGGAACTGAGGCTGCAATACAAAATATGAATGCAGATAAATATGTCGTTTTACTTTTAGTTGTGAAAGAAAACGCGCAAACTATTTCATATTCTTTTCCGTTTGATAAAAAACTTGTAGAAGTTCTTATTGTGTTTAGAAATTCATCTTACTCAAACACGTTCAAGATGCTCAGTGAAGGGTTTGGAAACTCACTTGTAGTGGAATTGGTAAGACCTGGAATCATTCGAAAAAAATCATGTGATGAGATCTATTTAAATTCGTTGTTCATTTGAGTATCGATGATGGTCAATATACTTGGTTTTTTGATGGGCATTTACGGTACATACGAAAAATGTATTTGAAAATTGTTTGGCTTGCGTACACGTATCTCCGTTTGTTTTTCTCAAACGGCGTTCCGATGTGCTTTCGCAAATTTTTGTTTTATTCTGACGCGATGCGTTAGACGACTACCAAGTGTTTGACGAAACGTGACGTTGTCGAACATTTCAAGCATATAAGTAAAATATTCCCCTAACTTTTCCATTGACCGAGCACAGCAGAATGATCACTATCATTAAAACCGTCAGTAAAAGGTCATAAACAATACGTGTTACTTGCTTCACCAATCCACGGATGAATCAGTCGGACAGCAGGAGTTCTAAAGACCGCACTACCAAAATCTCGTGAAGGTCTAACACAAAGGGGTATGATTTTCCGAGATTCAGCTTACTGAATCAATCATCATTCTAAAACAATGCATCTTTTTTGAATGGATATTATCCCTGCCGCATTTCGGGATATATATCAACCAAATTACTTTTTGTTACTTACTATCGGCTTCTTTATTCAACATTGATCACAGTTTAGTGAAACACAACAATTTGACTAGAGGCGTTATACATGTGGATTTGCACAGTGAATCCATGGTCATTTCACTGCATCTGCGTCCACGTGTGTGAACTGGTTGGCACAGTAGTAACGCACTCACCTCCTATGCGATGGGTCCGGAGTTCAAACCCCGGGACGGGACGGTGGATATGCACTATTGACGAGCTTTAATAAGAGTAAAACTCAAGTCTATTGCTTCCAAGTGTACGGTTAAATCGTGAACTGAGGATTGTGCATGAAGGATAGTCAGTCGAATCAATCGAAATCTTAGTATCTCGGTGTTTACTGTATTGAAAACGACCTGAATGGCTTAGCAGGTTGGAGTGACACAATGTATCTGTTTTGAATATCCAAATCCTTACCACCCAGTCAAGGACGTAACGCTTTCAAACTTGTGGTCCATCGACACCTTTGTAAGCCACATCGGGATATGTTCGATCATTCGATGGGTATCTTTCAATGTGTAACAACTGGCTAGAACCAACGGGGTAAAAGAACCTCCTGTACAAATGGTGTACACGATGTGTGAAATGCGAGCAGATGCGTGGGTCGCGCTGTATTTTATGTGAACTTACTGATTAGTTCCTCTATAAAAACACCAGTTTTCTCAACGTTAATCAACTGCACAAATGCCTCATTCAAGCTCCAAATCAAAGTTGGACAGGTCGAATCAAAATGAGGTGCAAAGCTGTCTGTGTTGTCCAGCTCCAGGTGAATAGCGATTCGTCGACGACGTTCTGTTCGGGTTGTTGGAAGGGCAGTCAAGGTGAATGAGGAATCGTCGAACTTCACCGGATACAAAGCCGTTGTGATCTGGAATCACACAGCAAGGAAGTTAAAAAACAAGCGTGTCACTAAGAGGGGCTAATCGATTTCGTTGTAGTTGATCGTTTTGTTTACGGTTCATTGAGAGGCTCGTGTTTGTATTATTGATGAATATGAGTATGATAATGATGTTGGTAATGATGTATTGTATTGTATTGTACTGTAATAAATTCTGCTAGCATGAAGCCTACATTTCAGTTAAAAATATACAGTTTGGAGCAAGGTAAAAAAATGAAAATAACAATGAAAAAGAGATTTAAATCCTAAAACTGTTAACAAATTTTGTGAAAACCTTTTCTTTGTAAACAACAATACGTGCTAATAAGGGTACTGTGGAGTTATGATAAATGTTTATTTATGATATCGTGATCCAGTTGAAGGATGGAAACAACACGAAGTTAGATCAGCGTTTAGTGGATGTGTGGAGTAGATGAGAATCTTACGTGCAAACTTTTCACGTGCATTCAAATGACGTTCGCATAGGTTAGTTATCAATTCCTTTAGTGGGATTGAAGAGACACGGCTAATGATGGTCAATCCACATCGAAGCCAATTAAAATCTTTTTTTAGTAGATTGGGAAAAATAACAGATGAACAATAAAGTAAAACAAAGAAAAGACACTGGTACACAAATTTGGAAAAAATTGATTGTGGAATACGAAACTGACGAAGTTTACGGATGTGAAAAGAAAGTCGTCGAAGCTTACTGACGATGTGTTGAATGTGAGAGGTCCAGTAAAGATTGGTATCAATAAAGACGCGCAGGTATTTATTGCAGTTTACCCGGGATACTCATTCGGAACAAATCGATACCGGTTCAGACGGAAAAGAAGACCGTAACAGTGTAAAGAGACATTCGAACCATTTGGAGAGATTAAGAGATAGGTCCGATGTGGCGGAAAACCGTTGGACGTTATCCAAGTAATCAGAAAACTGCGAAAGACCAGAAGAATCGGAAATGGCCTAACATGAAACCACATCGTCGGCTTATTTGAATAGAGAGAAGTAGGAGCGCAAGCAGAAAAGTCGCTAACATACGGTGAAAATAAGTATGGGGAAAGAAGTGCACCTTGGATTACTTCAGAGCTGTTCAACACTGAATTGGATTTCTTTCGACCTAACCTGGTACATTGAGTTCTCCCGGAGAAGTAGTCGGCAAGCCAAGCTAATAGCTGTCTAGGACAACCAAATGTCTCCAGTTTACGAAGAAGAAGGGAACGAGGAATAGAATCAAAAGCAGATGAGTAGACCAGAAACACACAACTAACAGATTTCGCANTTGGTAATTTTATGTAAAAGAGAGGAAACTGAATGATGTTAGGAGTGCATCGAAAAATCAAAAATTCTCTACCGATATCGATGTGTTATTTACACTATAACATTCAAAATGCGAGGAAACTGCATCTAGCGTGCCTCTGTTTGGTTTATAAGCAAACTGAAGATGATCATATGGAAAATTAATGGAATACCGAATGCGCTTAAGAACAACACGTTCTGCTAGTCCAACAGAGGTTAAAGCAATATGACGAAAGCGTTTGGTTAGAACGTCTGAGGTAGAGGATTTTGGAATGGGAACAAATGGTACTGGTTTCCAACAGTCTGATATAGAGCAGGTTTTTGAGTAATTATTCAAAAATGATGGGAATATTTCACCGAGAGAATAAATGCATCAAAGAAAGATGAAATGTGAGACTGGGTACAAAAGGAGGCTATGTATAAGTTGGTAGTGATTGTACTTCTGTATCGCGAAAATCTAGCGAAACATTGAACAGCTAAGCAGTCGATGCCATCGAAGGTTAGTGGTGCGTATAACAACCAAAAGGCCATTATCCTAGTTCGATCAGAACCAAAAAATCTCGGCTCTTTCCGTTCAGTTTGATAACTCTTCGCTCGTTCTGGAAAGCTATGATCAAACTTCAGAACAACGCGTAGCCCGAATTTATCAAGAACCAATTCGATCCAAAAATAATGTGCTGCACCTTTTCGCCAACAATTACAAATACATAAAGCAGTCATAACTCCAACATTGAGCCTGAATCACTATACAGCGAATATGTAGCAAATAATTAGAGATATCATAAGACCAAGATGTGATCATGATACTTCTTCTGCTCTCATTAAATTGTTAAAGGGAACTGGTTGCATGAAATCACAGATATCTTAGTATTATTACAAAATGTGTAGCAAAATGATTAGTTAGAATTACCTTTCAGATAATTCTGGACTATTAGGAAAATTCTACACATTTCAACAGATGAAGCAAACTATTCTTGAGCGTTACAGTCAAAATGCGTTCAATATAACCGATAGCAACCGTTAGTCCAACAAAGCGCGTTCAATCCAAACTGCCTCAGAAAGCCTCTGTACGGTCGGGGGTGGGTGTCTCGGTTTGCGGCTGATCATCTTTCCTTTGCACCTCGCGAACTGCTCCCATACGACCAGGAGTCCCAAATAGCCTCTGCCGAGGATGCCCTGCTCACTGCCTTCCCGTGGCGGAGGTGTTCCCACCAAAATAAGAGGATGGACAGCCGATATCTGGGGCTATAACCGAGTTGGTGAACCACTGGTAGTTCACCTAGGGGGTTAGTCACAAACCTTGATTCCAAATTAACCCACAGGAGCCATATGAACCACTCAAACCTCCCTGGTTGTGACAGTGGCTACCCCCTCGATTGGGTTCCTTGAACATTTAACCCGTCCGAAAGGCGTATGATCCCATGAACTGGTCACCGGTTCCCAATGGATTGCGGTTTTCACACCACTCCGCTGCCTTGCGAGTCAGGCTGTGGTTAGCCGAAGGCTCCGGTTGTGGATTCCTCAAGAACATTGCCCTGCCTCGGCCTGGGTAACCTTGCAGTATTCAGTCCACATACAAATTGTTCAACTTTTTTTTCAAAGACTATTGTACTACGATTTGTTTGGTGCATAGTCTGACCATAGACGTGTGTGAAATATATAATATACGTAATAAGCGAAACTGACGTCGTAATAAAACAACAAGCTGCACTCGGTTCCATTTAAACATTCGCACAAAGCATTTCAAGCGTTTTCTCAATAAACATGCACCGAAGACTGTAAAATGATGAAATATAAAATTCAGAACAGAAAATTCACCAACATAAAAACTGCCAGAATTAATTACAGAAGAATATGAAGAAGAAAGGTAAGGCACTCGTGAGGAACTTTCAGTCCTAATTGATGCTACAGTGCGCTTCTAACCTTTAGGTTCAAGGTTCGAACCCTGCTATTTTGGATATAGATGGTTGACCTTCAGACAGTCTAATACCAGGTTAACCCCAGAAGATTTCCTATGAGTTTCACTCCTTCCAGAACCCTGATGGTTTTGTTGTTTTTTGGTTTTCTTAAGCACATAGTAACTCTTCATGACTATGAGTTTGATACAATTTTGCTTTGCATCGCGCAATTCGTTGATAAACAAAAGAAGCAAGCTGAAACAAAAAGATCATTCTCGTGAGGTGTTCTCTAAACAAACGTTTCTGTGTTCAGCTTTATGAATTTAACGACTTGAGGTAAATCTGTTTATCGTACAGCTTTCTGATATTTTTCTCGATAATGACTGAACATGATAAGCCTTCAATAAAATACATAATTGTTGATAAATTCCTCATTTTTTTGTAGTTAGTTCAAACAAACCTATCCAAAAAACCCTAGCCGACTTTGAGCGAAAACTTCTACTCAGACAGTTTCATCACAAGAAAGCTTACCAAACGTCGGACTTCGTCCCGGTACGCCTCACATATCTGGGTCTGATCCTCACAGGACTTGTCAAGTGACCAACGCTCTCGAACCATGGCTATGAATTGGATCACGTCCGGAGCTGTTGAGAACAAATTGAAGCAATCAGTTGAATAACAGTGTCAAACGTCAAATCAAAGATGTTGTCACAACATGATTTATGATCCCCCCATCATCACTTCCCAATCGACCAAACATTCATGGTATGTTAAGATACCATAAAATGAAATTATATTGATCATTGACTCTGCAGGAAAAAAGTGGGTTAAGCGTATTGGAAAATACGTTTTCCCAGTCGGTAAATGCGTTCTTTTATCCGCACAGGATTATACTCACTTTGAATCGTGATTATTGATCCGAAGTGGTATCCTTTGGTATTCACCGCGTTCGCGAATCCCCATTGCAACATTTCGTGCAAATTGCAACTCGGATCGATCTCATTGGTGTCAAAGAAACGTTTGGGAAAACCGAAACGCAATTTGGTCCTGCCATCGGTTTTGCTAATATCGATAGACTTGAACGTCAGCTTGGGGCTGCGGTAGAACGCCTCGAGGATTTTGTCGGGCAGTTTCTGGAGAGAGAGAGAGAGAGAGAGAACAAATCACTCCCCGAGAAAAAGTTCTCTGAATTGGTCCATTTTGTGACAAAGCATTACTAGGGTTTGTTGGAGTGCACACTGCACGATCTACTCACCAATTGTTGTAAATCAGTTCGCACCACAGTTTCGTTCAATGTGGTCAGTTCGTCTTGAGACACTGGTTGATTTTTATAATACAACTGACCGGTAATTACAAATTCTGCAACGGAAAAGCATATTTTATGGGTTCACTTTCAGCTGGAATCATTGTCTCACGAGTGAAGTTTGCAAATTTATTTGTCTAGTTTGGCAATCAGCTTCCAAACGTTCAGCTACAGTCAACAACTGTCATATGAGGACCCTCAAAATTGATTATAGAGCTGTAAATTCTGTCACATGATATCAGTGTTGTCCTGAAATTACGTAATTAAACCTTAAGTATATTCGCGCCACCACAACTGTGAAATTGACCGACAACATAATCAAATTTTGAGTGAATGTGCCTCGAATTTGTTGTCATGCGAACTGGACAGAACAAAAGTTACCCAATTACGAATGAGTACGGCCCACACACGAGGATCTCTCAATTGGGGATTAGAAACCACAGGTGTGTGAACAGAAAATACAATCGGACCAATTGAGCTAAATAGAGACGTACGAATAACATCCGCTAGCTAAAGAGATTGCAACAAACATTAGAGGAAATCAATGTTGATTTAATTCCGGGAGGATGCCTCTGTTACGTTCGAGATTGAGAACAAAAATTAATTACTCGCTCAAGTTTACTGAAAACTTGCTTTCAAAACAATATTGTTTGTATTTCACTTGTATTTGTATATCCAAAATCCTATCCAAAATCCTCAAAATTTTCGCTCATCTCTGGGACAGAAGTTTACACATTGTTTAACCTTGAGCACACATTCAAATCTATACGCTATTTATTGATTTTTTTCATGCACTAATAACAATATGGAATACGTTTATGTTGAGAACCAAAAAAGAATCACAAGCTACTCCGGTGTTGAAGTGCTCTACAGACAGAGACATAGAGTAATAACATTAAAAATACCGAAATTTGGTGTAATACAATACCGCAATATGGAACTCACCCACAGGATCATCTGTTACTTCTGTTCTCAGTCGAACATTCGTGTGTGCGGTGAATGGGAGAGTTTAACGTGTAAAAAGGTTACATTTTATCAAATATATTGATTTTTTAAAGAAAAATGAAATGGAAACAAAGTAATGCCTAATTCAATAATCAAGCTGAGTTCGTTTAGAAGTCCTTTCGGTAACTTTTCGCAGGGGTTACTAAATAGTGGCCCCGAAGATGTTGTGTTAAAATCCCACCACATGACAGTCCTTCGCTGTGAACAAAAAACACAATAGTGCAAGCGAGCACGACGTTATTCCCGAATCACTTATTTGCATCTCAGTTGGTGATTACTGTAGAATACAAAATACTTTATATATCACAGATGTTGATAATCTAATATAGTATCAATTCTCTCTTCCACTTAGTTGGAGCATTCCAGATTGCTGTGGACCACGTTCTGCTGGCACCATACTTGACTGCTATGGACTCTGCAAATCTCAGCAGCCTCTCATTCGAGGTTGTGGAAACAACCCGAAAATGAGTCCCGCTCTCGGTATGGTGACCAGTTTGTGGCAGAGGGCAAGCAATTGACGATTCAGACGTTCTATATGGCTGGCGTGATGGGCTGCTTGTTGTTTGTGTAGCCCTCAGTCTAATGCGTTTGTGCAGACCCATGCCGGTATGTGTTCTGCCACCCGGGTGCACAGTTGCCTCTCTGTTCTGCCCACGTAGGTGGTCCCACACCCACGTTGAAGATCCTAGATTATGTGCGATTTGGTGAACAGGGAGATGGGGATTTCCCCAAGGGCTTCAGAATCTTGGTTGTGGTGAAGCGAACGACCGAATTTGAAACAAGACATGCGAGCTACAGAGATCACTAGCCGTCTTCCTACGAGTTGGCCTTTATCATGCCCTTCGAATGGAAGTTGAACGAGAACGTCACATTATGGTGCTATCATCCCCGACGTCCTGGGTTCAGCTTTTACTGTGTACCTTTATATAAACCTCGTCGGGTGACCATTGAGCTTTAGAGCTCCGTCAGCCGAATTAGCGAACTCTCTATATTATGTGGACCATGCAGCCTGCTAGCTCGATCAAACGGGGTACAAACGAGACCTCGTTTGTATTGGATTGTAACAAGTGGATTTTCAATGTACTAATCTCGAAATAGTTACCCCTTGGTCTTCGACCAATAACGGTATCTTTATTGTTGTTTTGCTCAGTTTCCATAGTGAATTAGATCTCCTCATGAAGTACATTCGATTTAGCTCTCACCTCCTCGATCTGCCTGGCGCTTCCGATGATTATCAACGTATCTTCGACCAATGCTGTGCAATGCTGTGTGATGTATAGATTTTTGTTGTATTCTACTGCTATGATGCAGCGAAATGATTCCCTGGAGTTACCTCGTACTCGCTTGGAGTGTTCTGTTTTTTTGTTCAAGTTTAATTCGGGAATTAATAGCTCTTCGATTGGTTGATCACTTCCTTCAAAAATATTGATTCAACGATCATAAATTTAACAAACAGGAAATGAATACAAGAGGAAGTTGAAAATCGATATCTTAAGAGACAAACCAGCTGCGTGGTCCCCAATTCCTGAACACAACGATAAATAGCAATATATCTGAGTAGAAAAATTCAAACGTTTAGCTTTTTTTGTGCCAAAAACTAAACGACATCTTACCGCTTTTGAATTCTTGACCTGAAATGACAAAGGAAAAGAGAAAAGCAACTGTCACCCCGATTCAAATAGTAAAATCATAATTTGCAGTACAAATTGTTGTGACCTATTCGTCCCCTCTCCCTCACCCCAGCCCCGGTCAGCCGAAGCACACACACACACACACAAGCAGAGGAAAACGTCATCGCGATTCTGATTTCCAAGATCGGCATGTAGTAAAATCACCCGTCGAATAGAACCTAGCATCTGTTTCATCGTAGTTCACTACCTAAGCTGGAATACTAAGTATAACCGCGTAACGCTCACAGTCTCTTTGTGTTTCTAGCATGTATAGTAGGATCCACTTGCATGGCGTTTACGTTCACAAGTACGGTGTTTGATGAAAGTGAAACTTTAACCGGATAAGAAAATTTTGGGAATGTTTTATATGTCGTCTAGTACAATTAGATTTGACGAAATGTTCAAACAACTGGGATCGTCTCCTCACTTGGGTCCGTAAGTTTCAGGGTAAAGAGGAAGTTAATTAGTACCAAAACTTAGTTGATACTATACAATCGTCATTCATTGACTGTCATTTCCCAAGAAAACCTGACTGCGGTTCATCATGGGTGGATCATTTGAACCAACCGTTCCTCGATGACATGAACTTTGATAACTCAAACTGGCAAACACGCTCGTTTTCGGTGCTTCCTAACAATGCCATTACAAGAGAATATATACCTGACTTAAACGAAACTTAAAGGGAATTAACAAACGAACCGGGAAAACAATTCGAATGTTAAACAGTTTGCATCATAATTGGTCTCCATTTTGGAATGTGTGTGACCCAAATTCGTTCGAAATCAATCATTGTTTTTTTTGCAGTGAGCACAATACTACTGACAATGTAATCAAAAAGTATGCAGGTTCAATTATTTAACCCTAGCAGACGAACTTCCGCGAAAAACAGTATTGTACTATTCTATTCAGGGTGGTGGTGGCCCAGTTGCAAGTAACGTCACCAGATTACCACCTCGAAGAACGTGTGTTCGAATCCCACCACCACCACCACCACGGCCTGACTTGTATCGCAGCCCTATGATTGGCCGCTTCCTCCTTCCTGAAAAATGTATCATTATGAATTCAATAAAAGCAATTAAGTTG